TAGTAAAAGTACTATATAACACCCAGCAGAAAAGAATAATCAGCAAATCAATTAATTAAGGCCCTATAGACACTCTTCTTGCCACCTCCAATCCCATCTTTGTTGTAAATAAGCTTTCTTGCCTACATTAAAGTCATTAGTTCTCCATATGTAAATAGTAATGTCCTTTAATTTAAACTGATTAAATATCAGAGAACAAATTTCAATCCACTCTTTCTGATCTAGCCAGGATATTAAAAACATAGAGCATTACTGTCTTACTTAGCAAATTCAACACAACTGTATACACTTTTGAATTCATTAATTTCCAGATTCACCTTCCCCCCCAAGGACATTAGCCAGAATGCTATCTTTAGCTATAATACACACACACAAATACTATAGTAATTAAAGAAACCACCCATTTCCTTCCCCCTAAGTTCCAGGAAGCTATGTTATTTCTGTGGACCAATTTCTATTTGCCAACTGTTCTCCAGAGCCTTTAACGGAAAATAAAATGTACTAGAAGCTATTCTTCAAATGACAGCCAAGAACACATCTCCTAGTATCTCCTCCCTTCAGAGGAAAAAGCAAAAAATGTTTGTGTATATTTAAGACCTTTACATTTAGGATTTTGTTAAATCCTGAAACGTGTAAAACCTCACAGTGTCTTGAAAAGAAATGTTTGAAAGAACCTCTGGTCTCTAAAAGTTAGCTAGATTCTCTGCAACATTCATCTCTTATTTTGGCTCCTCTAATTATCCCTTTTAACTTAATGTTGGTTATTTTTATTTCTTCCATCTTTCCTCATACCACATTGTTTACGACTGGTAAAAAGAAAAAATTATATTTATATATATTCTCAGTGGTAATTTCTCAGAGTGTTCCCCTCCCCCAGTTACACTAGGGGAGTTGGTGAGGGTTTTGGCTTCTTTTATCCTTTTCCTTCTTCAGTTAAAACAGAATAAATTATCCATATAATCACCAACAAACAACTTCTTAAGTATTTCCCACTCTTCAAACTTTGATAACACGAATTAGGTTTATCTCAACCAAGTGTCACATGTGAATTACTTCATCATGAAAAGGGAGATTGGGGCAGTGGTGGGTGGGGAGAGACTTACTTCCTTCTGATTTGGATCCAAGACAGAGATCTTGTGTTCCCCAGAAGGGAGCCCAGGCAAGACATCTCCATAGCAATCCCCCACACTCCAATCTTTCCTCTCTCTGTTCTTTTCCCTAACAAATACCTCCCAGAAGGCCAGAATATTTTGTTAGAGAATCTCCAAACTGCCTAAAATCCCAAACAGGACAGAAGCTTTAGCAAAAGTTTAGTAACTGATGCTTATTTTCCTCATTATGAGCAACACAAAAAACAACCTCCCCTTCCTGCTCCTCAGACGGTGCCCTTCACTTCCTGTCCAGGTCAGATTCCTCTGCTGGAGGTTCACTGAGGGCTCCACTTCCTGCTGCCTCAAAGCATGCTTCATTTCCTGTGAATTTGATGCCAGTTTTCCTCACGGGCTTCTTAGCCTGTACCCCCATTTGTTTACCTCTTGCTTATTCCCGACGCCTTCTCAACTTGTCTACTAGACCTGCCATTCTTTCCCTGTTCTTTGCCCACTCACCAGCCTCACCCTTCCTTAAAAACCATCTTTTTCACAGAAGTCCTTCACTAGCTAAGGCCAGTCAGTACTTTTTAGTATCCTGTTGATTCTGGTTTGCTTTATTAGCTTAATAGTGAAAATCACCATGTCTTTTAAAGGCCCAGCGCCTCACACTCAATTAAGAATATTTGATATCTGAATTGTGCTGCTTATCAACTATGAGCTATGCCTTGGTTTTTTAGTTTTGTTTATTGTTGTTTTACACTGAGCAAGACCATACCTACCAGCTACCTCTCCTGATCCCCAAGGTTAAATTAGTTCTTCTAGTCATTCTTTTTCATAATACCTTACACTTTTTATTGTTTCATTTATGACCAGTGTAACAAATTCTCTAGTTATCTATTTGATAGTTTTCCCTGCCATGACCTATAAACTTTATGAGACCAGGAAAAAGCCTGGTGGTCCCTTTGTCAAGTTGTCCTCTTTTTTCCCCCCTATTCTCCTTCCTCACTTTCTGCTGCCAACACAAACACAGGGCTTGGCACACTAGAAGATCAATAAATACATATTGAATGCACCACAAAAAGAAATGGTAACTATGGAAAGTGATGGATATGTTAATTAGTTTAATTGTGGTGAATATTTCACAATGAATACATATATCAAATCATCGCTTTATACACCTTAAATATATATACATTTTTGTCAATTATACTTCCTAAAGCTGGTAAGAAAAAATACATACTGAGCAGATAAATGAATGAAAGAATAAATGAATGAATGAAAACTTCTCTCTTTTTTTCATCCCCACTGGTTTTCTTTCAGTGCTACACCTAGTTCTCACCTCCAACCATAATGACCACTTGGCACCAGTAGGACCAAAGTATATCCCCTGCCCCTGGTTGATTATGTAAATGACACCTTTGAGGGCCTTCCAGGAATAGCATTCAGGCCCAAGTCACAGTGGTAAGTCTTTTGTTTAACTGTAATAATGCATCTTTCCTTAATCATTTCCATTAAAAAAGTAATCTCCCTTTATGAATGCTCTCTACATTTCTGCCGATGCCTTATATAACCTGACATCTCTGAGTTCTGTGGTGACAGATTTTGACATACGTATAGGAAATTCTTCTTCAAACGCGAACAGAGGTTGGCAAAAGAGTGCTTTTCTGTACTACTTTGCAAAAACCACTAATGTGGAGTGGGTTGCACAATAATAAATTATTCAGATCATAAATCTAAAGTAATTAGTTCATCATGATCTATACAATCTAAGTGAATTGGTGTGTGGCATTCAATTTTCGTAATATAATTAGTTTTGAAATATTCAAATTAAGGAGACAAAGATCATCATAAAAAGTACTGAGTCTCCTGATTAAGTAGAAGAATACTGCATTTTGTTCTTTATACTAATATATCAAAATTATGTTCTTTTTCCACTTACATAAAAATTTCTTTCTTTTTTTTTTTGTTGTTGTTTTAAATCAAATTTCGTCTGACTGGAGTTACTAAAGCCCTAGCCATTGAGAAATATTCGAAGAATGATGGAAAGTCAGCAAAGGTCATTTGCTGATGAATTTGAGTTGTCTCATCATGAAAAAATTTATTTTTTTTCAGTAATTAAAAGCTGGCCGTTTTGGGGCACCTGGGTGGCTCAGTGGGTTAAAGCCTCTGCCTTCGGCTCAGGTCATGATCCCAGGCTCCTGGGATCGAGCCCCATATCGGGCTCTCTGCTCGGCAGGGAGCCTGCTTCCTCCTCTCTCTCTACCTGCCTCTCTGCCTACTTGTGATCTCTGTCTGTCAAATAAATAAATAAAATCTTTAAAAAAAGAAAAAGCTGGAAGTTTTGAAAACTGGTCCCTCAAACTCACAAAGAAATTTTCTAAACCACAAAGAACAGATAAGTTTTCTTTCTAGAGAGAAACTCTGGATTATCATTCTACTCATATGTCCAATATAAGCTGTGTCATTTCCATAAACTTATTTTTGTGTTCCGGACTTGCCAAGATAATATATTGTCTCCTGTTTTTGAATTTTTCTGAGCTTGGAAAACTGATGTCTACATGGCTCATTAAAAGCATCCTCGATGAATTCTTATTGTTTTGGGTACAGTTTCTCAACCTGAGGACGACTGACATTTGGAGACAATTCTGTGTTGTGGAAACTGACCTGCACATCGTCAAAAGGTTAGCAGCTTCCCTGGTCCCCACCTTCTCAACGCCAGTAGCATCTCCCAGCTGTGACAACCAAAAGGTCTCCAGACATTGCCAAACGTCCTGCAGGTAGCAAAATTGCCCCAAGGGTGAGAACCACAGTTTTTTCAGTATTATTTCCTTCCACATAAGAAGGCATTATTAAGTCATTATCTTTCTTTCTCTTTATTCTTTATCAATAATGCTAGTAACCATTCATGGAACAATATTTACAGCCTCCCAAGAGAAATTCTGAACAATTAAAGCAAATGAAGAAATGCGTTTCATGCAGAAATGGATTTTTTTTCCCTTTTCGTGATTATCCAAGTAGTTTTGTCTCTCACCTCAAACTCTGCTCTGACACCTGAGACTTGCAGCTACACCAAAGGGACCTTCTGTGGGGTAACTAATAAGCAAGAGCAGTATAGGGCAGTGAGTACGGGAATGTCCTATCAGCATCAGAAACCTAGCTGCCTATCCTGGCTTAAACACTTTGTGCCTTGATTTTTCTTATCTGGAAAATGGGAACAATGACAACAGCAGTACTTATTCAGGTTTGTGGTGATACATAACAATATTAGACCTATAGTGTGTACTTATGTATTAATTAGCTGTTATTAGTGAACGTTTATGAAGAAATTTGCCAGATCACCCAGAGATTTGGCATCTCTGCCCTGGCCTCTGCAGCAAAAACTTCTAATCAAAAAGCATAAAACTATCATTTCCCTTTAACTCTGAGTTCTGGGGGTTTGGTGGGCTCTGCCTTCCAGCAGCACTCCATAGATGAATTACTCCACAGCTCTCGTAACTCTAGGGATATGTTCACCACATTTTTTTGAAAAACGATGGGAATTGATTTTTATCTTTAATTTTTGCTTACAAATAATTCATCTGTTATGAGAAAAATAACAAGCTCCAAAGGGAAAATGCAGACGCCCGTCTGTTCCCACACTGCCTTGAGTCAAAGGGTAAGAATTATCTACCACCAATAAGCTTAATGAGAAACAACCTTCAAGTTGTAATTTCAAAAAAATATAAATTGAGGTCTAGCTCTACCCACGGTGGTGTTCTTCTAAAATTCAGAGTTAAATACTGTCTCGTTACTCTGTCATATTAGCTGGGACACTTTCTGATGAAAGTGACTAAAACCCAGTTAAAACTAACCTAAGGAAAAAGATTGGGGGAGGGGCAGAAGGAGGGGGAATTTATCAGCTCTTGCAACCTGGAAGTCCACGGGCGTTCTGGCTTTAGATGGAGCTGGATCGATCCCAAGTCTTGTCATCAGTTCTCTGTCTCCAGGCTCTGCTTTCCTCTGTTGTACTGATTTCATTCTCTCCAAGTAAGAATTCATCTCTTATCAAAATGAAGGAATAACAAGGAAAAAGCATGTTGAGAAGCCAAAGCAATGATTACTACACTAGATAATATCCTCATTTACACATAATTGTTAATAAAGAAACGAGCTAAATAGAGGCCATCTCCCTTAAGAAACCCAAGTTCTACCCATTATTCAGAGTCTAGGAAAATTGCTACCTCGGTCATGTAGCCTTCTTTGATAACCTCACCCCTAGTAACTGCTACTTTATCAAAATGCTAAGGTGCTTACCATCTACATAGTTTATTTTACAAAATAGGGTGAATTGCTTTGTATCATTAAGTGTATATAGAAAAATATGCACATATACATTGTATATCTCCAACTCAATTTTTTTTTGAAAGAGAGAGCGTGTACACACACATGCATGAGCATGAACATACAAGCTGGGGAGAAGTGAGGGGCAATGGGAGAGGAAGAGAGAATCTTAAGCAGGCTTCATGGCCCCATGCCGAGCCCCATGCGGGGCTTGTTTTCAAGACCATGAGATCATGACCTGAGCCAAAATCAGGAGTCAGACACTTAACTAACTCAGCCACCCAGGCACCCCTCAATCCTTTTTTTCAACCACAATTATTTTTTATTATAAAAGGTATTTATTTCTTGTATTTATTACGAGATTTTTCCCAATCTCCCTTGCCCTCTCTGCCCATGTGATGGTAAAAGGATTTTATTTAACGCATAAATACTCAAGGACAAAGAAGAAGCAAAAGCAACAAAACATGGGAAACTGGAAAGTCAGTGGTAACTGACATTGCAAAGCCAAGGAACTGGAACAGCTTTGGGAGAAATACGGGGTTTGTAAACTGGTCTATGCTACAGAATCCCAGAAAGACTTAGGAAGGAAAAGGTGCACATACCTCTGAAAGTGTCCAGCTCGGTGGGGAGGCTGGAAACTGAAGGCTTGATCGAGTGTCCATGTAAAGGCACTTTCTCCTGGGAATGAAAGGCACAGCGTTGGGAACATAGTCAGTAGCAATAGTCATAGTCATAGAACATAGTCATAGTAATAGTAATAGGACATAGTGTAATATCATTGCATGGTGACAGGTGGCAGTAATACTGGTGGTGAGCGCAGCACAGCAAACAGAGTTGTTGAGTCACTACTTTGCACACCTGAAACTAACGCAACACTGTGTGTCACCTGTACTTCAGTTACTTAAAAAAAAGGCACTAAGTCCACCATCCAGGACTCCTCTACCCAATGGAGCAGCACAGCTGCTCCTCTTCAACCTAGCAGAAAACCAAGCCTCCTCCTTGAGGAAGTAAAACAGAGAGGCTTAGGCATCAAAGTCATCAGGCCCAGCTGGGGTCAAGGACATACTATCAAAATCAAGGACATTTGAGGCTCCCGGGTGGTGAGCATCCGACTCTTGATTTCGGCTCAGGTCTGATCTTAGGGTCACAAAATCAAGCCCCACATGGAGCTCTGCACTCACCTGGGCATCTGCCTGAGATTCTCTCTCCCTCTCCCTCTGCCCCTCCTGACCCTGCCCCCACTAAAATAAATAAATCTTTTCAAAAAAAAAATCAAGGACACCAGGTCCAGCTGGAGTGGAATAGTAGTCTGTGCACACTAGCCATGCAACTCCATCCCTAATTACAACAACAGTAATGATGTCGTTGTAGCTCCCGTTTGCTGAACATTGACATACCAGCCCCTGGGCTAAGCATTATACATGAATGATATCACATCTGATCCTCAAATAAATCCTATGAGGTAAATACTATTTTGTACTTTAAAATACTTTAAGGGACACCTGGGTGGCTCAGTCTTTTAAGCGTCTGACTTTGATTCCAACTCAGGTCATGATCTCAGAGTCGTGAGATGAAGCCCCAGCGTCAGGCTCCGCACATTAGATGTAGAGCTTGTTTAAGATTCTCTCCCCTCTGCCCCTCTCCCCCTAAAAAATAAAATAAAATGCTTTAAATGGGAACTAAAAGTTTATATAGCTGGTTAAGTTATAAAAAGATTAAATAACTGGCTGAAGAACTCGAAACTAATCAATGTCAAAGTTCAACTTTATACCCTGAATCACTACACTCAGTGACCCCCATTTATCAATTATTTTGTTCATTTATTCATTCAACAAATATTTGCTGTGTGTCCAATACTAACTCATCAAGATTTGTAAAGATGAATATAACATGCGGTCTCTATCCCAAGAAGCTCTCCGTATAGAGAGGGCAACAAATCAATAAACGAGCATAACGGTACATTGAAAAAGTGGGTCTCCAAACTGGGGTTACAGAAAGGATTCTGTTATTTCTCTCAGCCAGTTCTCTGACTCTGTTCTGAGTCCTGTGTCTTCCCTACATGGAAAGTAAATGAAATCTTGGGCAGATTCCATAAACCCTTTTAAATACTCTTATTGCAAAGTCCCCCTGTCTCTGTTAGTTACCAAAACAGTCTGATTTTAATTCAATAATCTGAATCTCATTCCAAGTTAAAGCTTCTCAGCTCCCTGGCAGGAGAACCAGCAATGGGGAGGAAGGGACATGGTGAGCTTCTCCTCTGTCTCTCCACCTCGTGCTGCTCCTAATCTTCTTTGACTTCCCAATACTGTCCCCAGCTCCTCTAGCAGTGGAGGCAGAAAGAGAGGGATAAACAGGCAGAGGTGACTTAGCTATCCAGTCCTCTTGTGATCCGCCAGCAGTGTTCTGTAACCTTGAAGAGTTTCAGGGATCTGAAACTCTTTGGTGGGATCTCAAGATACTACCCTCCCGCTCCCGGGAGCCTTCTGAATAGCTCCATGGACACAGGCCATGCCTCTCTTCTGACTTCTGATCTCCATCTCTGCCTTCAGCCACCCAGAGTCACACCCCTACTAGAGTAACTGCTCTCTTCCAGTTAACTTCTTGGACAGAATTCAGAAAAAGCCCCAGGCTATTTTGCTCCTATGTGTCCCCAGTCCAGTCAATGGGAAACTTACACACTCTTGTCAGTCATCGTGAATGAAAGTGCAACGAATTCCACATGAAGACTGTTCCTCTCTGTTCTGCCAACAGGCAGGTGCCTCTGGCCCCAGTCCCTCAACTTCAGTATGCTCAGGCCCAGGACCAAAGCTTATCCCCTTGCCCTCAAACCCCATGGCACTTCTGTGTTTCTCTTGAATGGTCCTGTTGAAGGCATCTTGCTTGACTATGGAGACTTGAGTGTGGTAGCTCTCCCTCTTGGAGACTTGGAGACTTGAGGCCTCCCTCTTTATTACTGCAGACATTTTTACTTCTAGAGCATTATGCTTACAGAGACAACTCATGGTTTCACTTAATTTTCCACTGAGGTCATAACCTATTTTTAGAAATGCATTCTATGCAAAATATATAAAAAACAAGCTCAGAGTAATGCTTCCAAACACAGGACTATGTAACCCCTGGGAAAAAGAAAACCTCTGGGGTCTTGTTTCTGATGGCATTCATCCTTATCAGAGGTCTCTTGAGAATTATTTATAGGTCAAAAGGTGAATAAGTGTCCCACACAGTAACAACTTTGCAGACACACAAAATTAGGCCTAATTGTCAACCTCTGAATTGCACTCACTAAGTCTTTACTTGCATGTCTTGCTTTTGGTAGATCATTTGGAAATAATCTTATTCCTGCTGCTACTTTTTCTCCCAGACACTGTCATGCACATGGACATGTATTATTTTCATGGAAGTGTCGAACTTGCTGTCTCCTGAAAAAAATCATAAAAATTCTGAGACAAATAATAGTTTAACCATAAAAAACCAGGCTAAGCCATCCAGTTTTGTCCCTCTTTGAACGATTACTCCATACATTCCACAACTTCAAGGCTAAGGGGATTATTTCGTCAACATCACTGTCTCGCCCTTGTTATTTCCTTAATTGAATTCCCTATTGCTTATAATATCAGCCTTTACTAAACATTATAATAATCCTATTTGTTTTCAATGGGATTATGAGATTTTTCTTAATTAAACATGAAGCAAACTTCAATACTCGAATCTCACTAGAAAACACTGAAGTGGGGTGCCTGGTGGCTCATTCAGTTAAGCATCAGACTCTTGATTTCAGCTCAGATCATGATCTCAAGATTGTGGGATCAAGCTCCATGGGGGTCTCCTGAGATTGTTTCTACCCCTGCCCCTCCCCACTCCCTCTCTTAAAAAAAAATTTTAGAAAACACAGAAGCTTCTTATTAAACAGTTTCTAAATGTCCTTCCTCTTACCAGACATGATTGTAGATCAGTATCAATCATAAAACCCACAAATCACATGACTAAAATATCCCAGAGAGGGTCAACCCAAGTCTGTACTGCTCTATAGGAAGTTCCCAGGACTAGGCTTAAATGCTGCTTTCTCTCTCTCTCTCTTTTTAAAGAATTATTTATTTGAGAGCAGTAGTTGGGGGGGTGGGGGGTGGGCAGGGGGAGGCAAAGGGAGAGGGAGAGAGAAACTTAAGCAGACTCTGCACTGAGTGCAGAATTGATGCAGGACTCAATCTCATGACCCTGAGATCATGACCTGAGCCAAAACCAAAAGTCAGTCACTTAATTGACTGAGCCACCCAGATTCCCCTTAAATGCTGCTTTCTTAATACCCACACCTCCCCCAGGCTCCCAGAAGGCCAATCTATGCTGAGAGATGCTTTCTTTCAGCATCTCCTAATCGCACATCAGGCCTGGCGGATAATGGGCCTTCAATAAATATGGACTGAATTTTTTTATTGAATTTTAAGCAAAGACAGACCTCTTAGCAGTCATGTAACAGATGTTTTGAACCTCTTTTTTCTTTAGAGTTTGCTCACAATCAGCAGTTGTTTTATTGCTTTTACAATAAAATTTAAATCGAGGAGGAATCATTCACAGAAGGAAGTGGAGCTTGAGTGATTTAAGGCCATTTCATGTCTCTCCCTAGCTCGGCTTTAGTCTTTTACCAAGCAACTCTGCCTTTAGCTTTAAATTTAAAAAAAAAAAAAAAAAAAAAAAGGAAAGAAGAGGAAGGTTAGAGAGATTGGGTCAGCTTTTCAGAAAAGGAAAGAAACACCACTATTGTCATAAACTCCAGGAAACATTTCTTCAACCTACTAATTTGGGTGCAACTACAGGATCAATTGAATGACTTGGAAGCCCTGTTTGAAGAGGACAACCTATGAAGGGCACAGGGAATGTAACTTCTAACTTGTTTGGACTGACTTTTATAAGAGGTTTAAATTATTGAAATAATTTTCCATGATTCCACTTATAATGTGAAAGTGGTGCAAACTGTTGTTCATAAATGTCTTGAAAATAGTCATTTTAATGTGTATATTAATTTTAGGAAAAATATTTATGATAGGGTAGGGTTGAATTTTATGATTTTACATAATTCCAGGCATCCTTGCATAATCAATGTGTGTTTATGACTCTTTTATGGGACTCAGGCATGATTCTACTATGTTAAATTATTTTTAGAGGATTGCAGTTGTAGCTTTGTCTTTTTGATGTTTGATTGATCATGACTGTATTTTCTGTGACACTGAGTCCTTGGTTGGCCCTCAATTACAACATTGGCACCAGAGGAGAAAATGTTTCATTTTATGGAAGATGTGATTTCTAAGAACACGATGTGGTAAGAAACGAGACTGACTATGAAATCTAGAAACATGTATTTATGGCTACAAATTGATAACAGGAAATGTCTTAGGAAGACGGAGACTGGTAGATTGTAGGATGGGTCATCAGTAGAGATTTTCCAGAGAAAATCAACCTCAATCTGTCATCTTAAGGGCAAGGAATAGAGTGAAGATGAGAAGATGTGCTGTTGGTGGTCATTGTTACTGAACAACTGTCCAACAGGAAGTGTCTTATTGCTTCAGGCAAGCCACTCTCCTCTACCTACTCAGTTACTCACACCAGGTAACAGAACACTCAGGGCATAGAAATGGGTATGTAAATGTGTTTGTTTTCCTTTGTAATGTAATAAATCTGATTGCATGCTGACCATGACCTAGGCACTGTCATGGGTCTCAGGGGTTACAAAGACAGTTGTTACTTAGTCTTTGTTTTCCAAAGGCTCCCAATCTGGTAGGAAAGACAGACAAGTAGATAGTGCAGTAAGGCCAATGCTATAATAAAGGTAGCATTGGGATACAAAGAAGCAGATATTAAATCTACATTTGTGGGCACAAAGAAAGCTCCTCAAGAAAAAGTATGAAAGGATAAAGATGAAAACATCCAAAAAGAGGCCAAACATATCCCACTAGACCAGCCAAGGGAAGGTGCTCCTCCAAAACAGGGGCAGCCTTAGCCCACTCTACTACTCTGCCACATGAAAGGGAAGAGAAGAGCATTCTTCCTAAAGACACTGCCTCACATAGAAGAAGGCTCACAGCCACTGT